GATGAATTTGAATCATTAATATCTAATCAGACATGGGTTTTAGTAGACTTGCCCCAATGATCAAAAGCAATAGGTTGTAAGTGGGTATTTAGAAGAAAATACAATACATACGAGTCTATTCAAACATTTAAAGCCAGGTTGGATGCCAAGGGTTTTAAGCAAAAAAAGGGAATAGACTATTTCGATACATATGCACCAGTAGCTAGGCTCACATCAATTAGAATATTGTTTACATTGGCATTTTTATATAATTTGCATGTGCATCAAATGGATGTGAAAACAACATTTTTAAATGGTGATTTGGATGAAGAAGTCTACATGGAACAACCAAAAGGGTTTATTCTCCCTGGGAATGAAAATAAGGTTTGTAAATTAATAAAGTCGTTATATGGATTGAAGCAAGCACCAAAACAATGGCATGAAAAGTTTGATTTTGTCATTCTATCATATGGATTTAGACATAACAGTGCTGATAAATGCATATACTCTAAATTCACAAATGATTATGGTGTTGTTATATGTTTATATGTTGACGACTTGCTAATTTTTGGTACAAACATGAAAGGTGTATCTGAAACTAAAGAGTATCTAAATTCAAAATTTAAGATGAATGACTTGAATGAAGTAGATACTATCTTGAAAATTAAAGTAAAGAAGCATAGTAGAGGTTACGCTTTGTGTCAGTGACATTATATAGAAAAATTGCTTTTTAAGTTTAAGCATTTACAAATAAAAGAAGCAAATACCCCTTATGACCCTAGTGACACTTTGCTTAATAATTCTGGTAGATCCGTTGGGCAGCTTGAATATGCTAGTATAATTGAAAGTTTAATGTATGACATGCATTGTACCAGGCCAGATATCGCATTTGCAGTAAGCAAACTTTCTAGATACACTAGTCATCCAGGTACTGATCATTGGAAAGTAATAAATAGAATTTTTGGTTATCTTAAAAGAAATATTAACCTGAGTTTAACTTACACAGAGTTTCTAGCAGTACTTGAAGGATATTCAAATGCAAGTTGGATAACAAGTGCTAATGATAATAAGTCTGCATCAGGGTGGATTTTTACAATTGCCAGAGGAGCAATTTCTTGGGCTTTGAAGAAGCAAACATGTATAGCACATTCAGCTATGGAATATGAATTTATAGCATTAGCGACAATAGGTAAAGAAGTGAAATGGATTAGAAATTTGTTATTGGAAATAGAGTTGTGGCCACAACCAATGACATCCATTTCTTTATACTGCGATAGTGAAACTACTTTGTCTATTGCATACAATAAGGTATACAATGGAAAGTCTAGACAAATTAGCTTGAGACATGAATGTGTCAAACAATTAATAACTAATAGAGTTATTAATATTATTTATGTTAAATCAAGTAATAACTTGGCGGATCCGTTAACAAAAGCACTTTCAAGAGCTTTGGTATCTAGTGGAATGGGGCTAAAACCCTTTACTGAAATTTAGCCACCAATAATGGTAACCCGACTTTGTCTAGAACATCACTAGTTTAAAAGTTTAATGGGTAATAACAAGTTATTGATAAGTGGTTGTGAAAGCACTGGAAATTAATATATAGCTCATTCCAGGATGATAAGTGCAAGACAGCTACGTTTAGGAGGATGAGTTTTATTTCTTAATGAGGTTATTTGTAGTTATGTTTATAGTAGTAGGGACATGGGAATGAACCTCACCTATATGAACATACAAAGTAGTGCCGCCTCTACCAAGAGTTGGGTTTTCTCTTGTAAATGTTCATGAAATCAGGATGAAGCACAAGACCATAATAGTGCTTAATTAGTTCAGAAATTTCTTTAAGGAAATAAGACATCGTCATGTGTGTACTTGTTCCGTTTTTAACATAAGAATAGGTGGTTTAAACTTAGATCACCATCGCATTCGTTATAACTTTGAATTACTTACACTAATTAAAGGTTTAATTCGAAAGACACCTTTATTGTATGCATGATTATATTGATATGCTTGTGATTAATTATAAAGAGAGAATTATTGTAATACTATTTTATATATTCATAAAATAGGGAAGTATTGTTGAATATTTCAAGAATATATTCATATATTTGTTGGCTGAAAAGTTGGGTATTTGTCTAACCGTTGCTTCTTTTCGAGTGAAGCATTGCAACATATGACATACTATATTTTATATATATATATATATATATATATATATATATAATATTGGTGCTATATTGTGCAGCATGTGTACGAAAATGATGGTACCAAAAGGTTGGATTTAATTCTACCTTGTATCTTTTGGTTGAACTACAACTTTTGATTAAAAGACATGATGCTTACTCAAATTGTATGAGTAGAATTAAAAGATATAAATAATCAATATTTATTTTCTGAAAATTCTAAATAGAAAACATGTCTTTTGGGTCAACACTATTAAGAAGGGTTGTATATCTTCAACTAAAATGAAAGGACTCAATGAATGGGTGCTTTAATGCCTATAAATACCTATTATGGCATAATGTTTCACACACAATTTTTAGAAATTTGTTTCTACATTCCTTACTCTTTTCTCTCCATCATATTCATACAATTTCTTTTTAGTTATTTCTAAGGGAATACAATTTGGTTTTGCTAATCGAATATTCTATACTTTGTTGTATCCTGGAAGTGACTTGCCAAGAACCCTTTAGCAAACTCATTCGAGTAGGGGCAAATAACACTTTAAGGAAACGATTCAAGTCCTACCTCAAAATCATCATTCAGATTATTCTCTATATTTCTATATTTACTCTAACATTTCATACTGGTAGCAGTTAAAGATTTCTTTATATGGTTATCGTTCTGATACTTTTGCTAATTATTTTAGCTCCACACACACATATTGGCGGTTACACAAATCCATATTCGTAATTCCCAGTTAACATGCAAGGTGGTAGTGCGAGGTTTGATGGTTATGGGAGGCCTGGTGTACCTTTCGGTATTCGACCACCAGGAAATGGAATAGTTCCATATGGAAGTAGCAGCAACGTTGCTGCTGGTGTTGGTGCTATTTGGGGAGCAGCATATGATCCTTCGCTTGATGCGGCTGACTGTAGCTCTGAAGTCGGTGCTCAATAGTGAATACGGGTCAAGCCCTTTCCAGGGCCTAAGGCGAAAGTTTAGTACAGGGCGTAGGTTTTTTCACATTAAAATAAAATTGGCCTGATTGGATTATTAGTCCCGTGATGACATGGTAGTTGAAATATAACTCATATGGTAAAAAAAATTAGGATTTAAGCGTGAAGTTTGTTAGAATTTATGTCTAAAATTGAAAATTCCGTCAACTTTCTGTTAATTATTAGCACATGAGCTACATATATTAGGCTAAAATGGAACTCTCTATACACATATTAGGCTAAAATGGAACTCTCTTAATTGTTAGCACGTGGGGTTGGCTCACATGCCAATAATTAACCAAAAGTTTACAGAATTTTTAATTTTAGGCATATATCCTAACAAACTTTACCACATGGGCTTAAATCCTAGTGTTTTTACTACATGACCTATCTTCCAACCACCATGTAACCAAGGGAACTATTAATCCAATTAAGCCAAGTAAAATTTGGCATTTTGAAGGGATTATTTTCTTGTTTAGGTTTGTGTAGTAAGATGAATGCTACTGTTTCCATATAGAATTATCGAGTATAGGAAGTGATACTTACTAGGGTTTCAAATTCACAAACTCACCAAATCAACAACTCGAAATTTTTGTGTCACTTTGGGGGAAGAAAGTATGACATCGATTTTGGAGGAAGCAAGGACTCTCGATCTCAACTTGGAGGAAGCAAGTAGGAAGTCCTTTCTATCAGATGAATTTCGACAAATTTTGAACGAATTTCGAACAAATTACATTGTTGTCGATTTCAGACACGTGATGTGGAAGGCCCTGCTGGGGATGACAAACTATGTGGAACTTCGACTAAATTTCGAACATGTTACTGTGTCTAAAATTTGAATGATTTGTTTTTAATTCGCCTGCTGCAAAGTTTTAGGCAGAGGAGGAGACGACAAACTAATTGCACGAGAAGTTACAAATAAATTTTTGTAATATTGCGGGCTATGCTCGACATTTATTGATGAGTCATTTATGATCAGGTTTCAGAGGAAGTTTGGTTTGGTTAATTTTTTATTAGCCGTTCAGAAGTGAAAATCCAACGGGTTACATTGATTTGAACAAGAGAATTTGTGGTTTAGAAATCAGGTGAAATTAATGGGCTTATTTGTTACAGGCCCAATCATTATTGTACAAAAATGGTAGTTTACAATACTGAGAAGCATTGGTTTTGGTTTGATATGGTTCTATTTTCAAAATCCTAAATATCGGACTGATATGGTCCGAATATATATTCCGGTATTGGTTTTGATTTCTGGGCACTACCAAACTGTACAGGACCCTGACCAGGCCTATCCAAAACGGAGGTGGATTGTCTGCCCTCCCATTTTCATATTCTTCCCATTCTCTTCTGTTTTGTGTGGTCACGGTTAAGCTACATCAACATTTTATATTCTTATTACTTTTTGTTTTATTATTTTTGTAAAAAAATCAATATAAAATGTTGACGTAGCTTAACCGTGACCTCACAAATAGGAGGGGATGTGAAGAGTATGGTAATTAGAGGGCAGACAATCCACCTCCATCCAAAACTCGTTCATCCACCTTGAACGTAAGAATTCCGGCAAATTTCTTAACAATGTCAAATTTTGTAGGACTTAATTGCCAAGTAATAAAAATGTCACTGCTAAATTTGCCAAAGTAGAAATGAGAGAGACCAAAATTAGAAATTGGATTAAATTATAAAGAAAACTAATGAAAAGGGCTTGAAAACTTTGAGTTTTAATGATAAGGACAAAATAAAGAGTAAAGTGAATAGTATCATGATTGATTTTTTAGTGTAAAAATATGGTTTTTCGTTAAAATGAACAGTACCGGATGCTTTTCGTTAAAAATTCCCTAAATTATATGCACCAAAAGCGTAATTTGACGTACTATTTATTGAGAATTACGTGGGCCCGCACGAGAGCCCATCCAGGCATCCACCTCCATCCCAACTCTCCCATTTCTTATATTTGCTTTTCCTGCGTCTCCGATTCTCGCTCGTCCCCTCCATCAACGAGTTAGTCTTGAGTCATGGCCGAGGTTTGATTCTTCTCTTTGTTCTCCCAATCGATATGTAATCTATATAGATTCTGTTTGTATTCCAGAGTTTTGTTAATTTTGCATTCGGTTTTCGTTTTAATTTTTTTTTTAATTTATGACTATTTTCTGGGTAATTTCTTTGTAGATTTGGCCTGTTAAGATTCCTGATTTATTTATTGTGTTTCTTGTTCATCAATTATTTGCGAGATAGAATTCAATAACTTTAGTCATGAGATTTGTCTTCGTTTTATTATGGTTTTATGAAACCCTCGTTTCCTGATCAAAAGAAATTTGAGTTGCTCGAGTTATAATTGTATGGAGATCTTTAAGCATTATGATTTGTTGTATGGAGTATAATTTGGGGCCAGTTACCTTTTCTGAGCAGTGTGAATCAATTGGATCTAAAACAGAATGATTGAATGTCGTTTGAAAATTTTGTGTGTTAATGTTTGCTTCATTCCGATATTCCTGAATGCCCGCATTTTTATTCGGTGCTTATATGGCAAGGATTAACCGAGTCCTCGCCTAAACTTTGATCATATATTTAATTTCAAATTTCAGTTAATGACAAATTGTGTACTTATGCATGACTTGTAATAAGTATTATAGGATGTTTCTTGGTAATGCGACCCGTGAAAGTTACCTGCGTGGTCTGTATTCAGAGATTTGATTTTTCCTTTTAATTTTTGTGTATACATATTCTCAGTGATTGAAAGTTGACACTAGTTCGTATAGTCTAATGAATTAATCCAATTTGAAGAATGAAACATCTGAAGATGTAAAGTGTGAAGGCAGCATAAAACTGATATTGTTCTAGATTGCGGAATGCCATTTTGATGGATTTATCTGTTTTTCTTATCTGTATTTTCAATTAATTGTTACAATATTGTTCTGCGTACATTAAGTTTTGTGCTGTGTTGCTTCAGATTGAGCTGAAAACAGCACCTGCTGATTTTCGATTTCCCACAACAAATCAAACTAGGCACTGTTTCACGCGATACATTGAGTTTCATAGGTAGCTTTCCAAACTTTAGCACTTAGTTTTTCAACAGTAAACTATTCATTGAGAATTTTCATTCTTACATGTAAAACCAATTGCAGGTGCGTTGCAGCAAGGGGTGAAGAATCTAATGAGTGTGAGAAATTTGCCAAATATTACCGCTCCCTCTGCCCCGGTGAATGGGTGAGTACATTGGTCAGACCTTTTCCAATACTTCATAACTGATGTACTCTTTTTGTGCAAATGTTTCTTGAAGCACTTCATGTACTTAAATCTGTGAAATATAAAGTGAGAATGGGAAAAAAATCCTTTTGGTCTTCTTCTCTGTTCGTGTTGCATTGTTACGGGATAAAAAGGTATTTTGCAAGTATGGGGAGAAAGGTTTTTCTATAAAATGCCCGCAGTTCAACCTTTACAATTATAGGTTGAACATGGTTCAGTCTATGATATGTGTTTGAACTATCATATTGGAGTTTTCTCATATGGTTGCCCTCTTCTTGTTAACTTGCTGGCTTTATTACTAATTTGGATATATAATTATTTGGTGCTTTTGTTAGTCCCTATAGGCATTTAACCCACTATGTTGGAGGATAATAAATAGCCTTTCATACATTAAGGAATGTACAATCACAGGCACACACATTAGTCAGAGCCTGATATTTTAATTTGTTTTAAGAACATGGATTGTTTGTTTGCATGGTTTTATACATGGATTAAACTGTTAATGGCTTGTTCTCCTTTATACAGATTAGGAAAGTTCAATTTATAAGGTTTCTTTTCCTCTGAAAGAGTTGTTGGACCAAATAATATTTGTTAAACCAATTGGATTGAAGCACCAGAATTAAACTCTCAAAATTTGTCCAGTGTATGGCTATCAATAGGAATCTTGTAGTGACTATCTATTTTGTTTTACTTTTTCTGGGTGTGTTTGTTTGTTTTACATTTTTTTTGTTTTCGTACTTTTCCTTTTGACTTGTTGAGGGTTTTCCAATTACTGGAGTTGGTAGCACTTTATATATTAAATCTAAAATCTAGCCTTTTTATTTTATTTTTTATTTTATCATGCGCATGCATTATTGTAGATTGAGAAGTGGGAGGAGCAGAGGGCGGAAGGAACTTTCCCAGGTCCTCTATAATTCAACGTGAGAATCTCTGGCATGATCTTTCTTTGTCATGGAAGTTGCATGGTTTCATTGTTGGATCGTTGTGAATCAATAAGTGACCTGTGTGTTCAGATTTCTTTAATTTTATTTAAATCACCATATTGTTTGTTTTAATTGAAGGTTCGTTGTTGCCAAAAATGGTTCTGTGTATACTCACCCTTCCAGGGTTCCCCCCGCCCCCCAAAAAAAAAAGTGTTTCTTACTACATATGCAGTTTGGTTTTGTGGATGCAATTTTCTTCTTCCTTGATCTTGGACAAAGTTGCACCTACAAAACAATTAACACCTTAGGGTCAAGGTCAAGAGCCTCAAGCGCCCACGATGAATGGGGGGTTTTGGCCGAAGAACCTTCGATGCCAAAGTTAGAATTTAAAGAGAAAAATGTTTAGAAAGTATTGAGAATTTTGCAAGTGTGTTGGAATGATCTTTTGGTGAAAATGAGAGCCTATTTATAGGGATAGGGTGTAACTTATGGTTTAATGTGTGATTTAATGGATTAATTAGGCAATTAATCCATTAATTGGTTAATCAACACATTTTTGGAATAAATATATTGGGGGTTATGTAATTTATATAGGATGTTTTGAAGGTTATGAAATAATTACGTTGTGGAAAATATAGGATGAGGATGGATGAAATAACTTTGAATTTGTTACCTATTTTGGGCACTTTTGATTTGGTTGAATGATGATTGTCCGCTGCTCGCGCGTAGGAATCCCGTTGTACCTCAAGGGTATTTTTGACCTATTTTGTCCAAAAATCCACATGTCGTCTTGTGATTATTTTTGGCTCCACAAATGCCTTCACACCTGTTGGGCTGCTCGTAGGAAATGGCAGTAGGTGTAGAGATCATCTTGCTCTAGGGTACGTATGACTGCTTCCTATTTTGATGTAGATTCTCTCTTTAATAGGAAATTAGGTCCTTCTAGGAATGGGAAATAAAGTTCTCTCGAAGTCTTTTGAAGTCCACCTTAAGTGGGTTATTAAATCAACTTTTGAGAGTGATTTACTCTACTCTACAAGAGAGAGAGAGCTTAGAGGATATTTGTTCTCCCTCCTCTAACAATCTTCTACATCTTGCCCGTGCAAATGACCGTCTTTCGTTGATTTATTTGTCTTCTCCATGCCGCACCAATGTAAGAAAAGTTTAATTTTTCTTGTCTTCTTCTTGGATAGTGCTATTGCGGGGTAGCCGTCGGGGTGGTGCAGCACGTCGGTTGGCTGGGGCCAAGAGTCGGCTCGGCATGGGCCGAGGTGTTGTGGCAGGGACCACTGCTTGGGCAGCTCGGCTTGGCTAGGCTAGAGCCAAGGGCAGCTTGTGCGGCTGGGGTCACGGATTGTGGCGCTAGGGAGCAGTGCTAGGCGAGCCGTATGGTTCATGTCCTTTGGGCTCTTGGACCTGATTCAGGCCAGACTAGCGATTGGGAGAAATGAGGAGGTCGTGGGAGCTCATGGGTTGCTGGAATGCTGGGCATGCAGGCCTCTTGCCTGCTAGAATGCTGGGTACTATGAATGTCGTTGACTGCTTAGCCCTTTTCATCGGGAGAAAGGTAGGCTGTCCCCGAAAGATGAGGTAAAGAGGATTAAGGCGGATGCATTGGCTTATCTGATCGCTGTCGTAGAGCTTACTGTGAATGAAGGTGTAAAGAAGAGATTTTCCCCACCTGCTCAAGAGATGTTGATTAAGAGAAAACTGAAGACTTCTTCCACTGCTGGTGAAGGTCCCCTGCTGTCGAGAGGTCTGTGATTGGCATGACTTTTTCTGATGGGAAAAAAAATGAAACTGCTAGATCTGAGCATGTGGTGCTTGCTATCGAGAATAGCTAGTACGATTACTGATAGGATTGCTCAGCGTAGAAGTCCTGTCGTGCCCCAGTGCCGAAGTCTGTACCAAGACGTCTGTTGGGAGCTAAGTCTGGTTCACCTTTGGAGAGGCTTGCTATTATGAAGAGCGATAAGGTGAACTCTGCTGCTAAAGTGGCGTTAAGGCCCACTCTCTCTGCTGCAGAGATTGATACGCCTGCTGGGAAAAATGAGACTGCTCGCGTGGGCAGCTGTGAGAAATCCACTAAGCCTGCTTCTGGGAAGGCTACTGAGATCCATGTGCTATCAAGACCAGATCTGCTTGAAGACATGGACGCTTGTGTCAAGTTTGTTGATGGCGTTAGAAAGGTTATTTGCCTAAGTTCCTTTGCGAAGCATATAACCCAACATAAAATGACTGCTCTGCTTGCTATGATGCAGATGTAGCAAGGTTGCCAAGGAGGTGGCGAAGACTATGGCAGCTGAAGTTTATTCCTCGGCTGAGGAGATGAAGAGGTTGGATTCTGAGCTCGTTGCTTTGAAGGGGTCTAATATTTCTACCCCCAATTCTCTGCAGCTCGAGACTGCTCGCCAAGAGATCGTTGACTTGAAGACTAGGCTTGACGCGATCCAAGTTAAGTATGAAAATGTAGAGAAGGAGATTGGATGTTACATACCTTAGATTCAAGATCTTGAGTTTGCAGTTTCTGAGCTTTATTTCGCTGCTTATACAAAGGTTGAAGAGTTGATTGCTGCTTATAATCAAGTGATCCACTTTAAGAGAATCGTCGATAGGCTTGAACACCAAGTGTTGGAACTGCAAGGTGTACTGAAGATCAACGAAAGTCTGAAGAAGGAAGTGGATGAGCTGCAGCGCGTCCGTGTTGGTCTGCTTGAGGAGAATGAGCAGTTGAAGGGTGAGAAGGATGCGCTCGAGGTTCGAGACCTTCTCTATTTCTTCGGAAGATTTGCTTGCTTTTACTTTTGAGGCTTCCATTGGTGAAGTAGTTGGAGAAGTTGGTGCCCAGACTAAGGCAGCTGGGGGTGAAATGCTGGATGATGCCGCTGCTAAGCGTGTCGCAGCTGCTTAAGGTGTGGCGACCGAATAGTCGTGGGATTTCGAAGCTAGGTAGTCTTTAGGATTTTCTTTGTTTTTCCTTGTAGCTTGTTTTGCTTGAACTCCTTCAGCCTTTGCTAATTGTTTATGAACATGCTTCATTCGCTTTTCTTCATCTTCGCTTCGTTTGTTCATGCCCTAACCTTTAAACTTTATACACCAGTAGCAGGTGTGCTACTTTTCTATAAGCAGACAGACTCGCGTAGCCTATGCAGTCGTAGGTGTTGGTGTAGAGCTTTGCAAAGTTGTTAGCCATAGGGTTGGTAGCTGGATGCCTTACTTACAGAAATAGACAAGTCCGCGTAACCACTAGGTTGTTAACCTTAGCTTTCTCCAATTTCGTAGGCTGTGTAGTAAGTATCACAACATTTTAGGACTTGGTGTAGATTGTTCTGCGCTTGGCAGATGTGAAGTTTATCGACCACGTAACATGTCGGCAGTGGATAAAACTTCGTATATGCACGCTAGCTTGTTTAACCTTTTCACAAGAATGTGCGGCTGTATAAGTCTAGCGTGGTTTTATTGCTTGAAGGGCAAGCCGTAGGCAGTCTTCCGGAAACCGTAGGCTACCTTAGTGCACTCAGTAACAGCTTTAGGGTTCCTAGGCAGCTGTCTGTAGGGCGTACTGCATAATGTGCCCCCTCCGTTTCTAGGGTCCGGTTCCTCGCAGATGAGGCCAAGAGACCTAAAATCCTTCAGTTAGCTAAGCCTTGAAAAAGACCATTGTGGCTACTTCTGAGAATCCTGGCGCAAACCATCGTGCATCTAGTTATACTAAGGCAGCCAGGCTCATCCACGTTTGGATATTTGGAGTGTAAAGTTTATCCTCTCGTCTTGGAGAGCTGACCTATGTGGGTGTCGAGGAATTGGTTTACCCTCTCGCACTGGAGAACATGGTTGGTCCCTCGGGGGGTGTAATTCCTGCGATGAGTCCCTAAGAAGGGCGCGGTCTTCTTTTGAAATGCAGAAGTGATCAGTTGTTGTAAGCATGTAGCCGAGCCAAGTTCTGATTACTTATGAATTCCTCATTGAAAAACGAGTGAAACGAACTAGAACTTATCTGTAAGGTAGGAACTGTATAACAACTGGATAGTCCTCGGGCTTTGATGGAGCGGGAGGTCACACATTGTACTTCCTTAGATTGTAGGCATTCCACTGCTTTGCGATCTTTTTGTCGTTTCATGGTGGCGAGGGTGTAATTACTCTTACTGCCTACTCTATTGATCTTGTACGAACCTTCCCAGATGCGATTCATCTTTTTGGAGCCTTCTCTGCGGGCACTGATGAAGGCTTTTCTTAGGACTAGATATCCGGGCTAAAACTGCCGGATCTTAGCCCTTGTGTTGTAGCTGGAGAGGAGCTGCTGCTGGTAGGCTGCATTGCGGGTACTGGTCTGCTCGCGCTTCTCCTCTGCCAGATCTAAGCTTGTGACCATCTTCTTATTGTTCTGCTCAATGTTTGGTAGTAGAGTGGTGATACTTGGCTTGGTGACATTGGGATGAATGATTGCTTCCGAACCAAATGCCAAAGAAAAAGGAGTCTCACCGGTTTCTCGTCTTTTGGTGGTGCGATATGCCCACAGACATCCAGGGAGTTCGTCTGGCCATTTTTCCTTCTTGTTGGTGAGGGATTTCTTGAGGCAGTCGAGGATCATTTTGTTGGATGCTTTGACCTGCCCATTGCTTTGAGGATATTTTGGCATGGACATGTGTTGCTTGATGCCATATTCTTGGAAAAATTTCTCCAAATCTCTGCCCATGAATTGCAAGCTTCTTCATCGCCAAGTTTTTTGCCATTCGGAGCCTGCTAATAGGGCCTCGTACTCTGCTTCGTTGTTGGATGCTTTGAAACCTAGAATGATTGTCTGCTTAGGCATCGAACCGCCTGGGGTAACAAGGGCCACGTTTGCTTCTGAACCTTTGTAGTTGGATGCGCCGTCGACATGCAAATGCCAGAAGTCTCCATTGGGTGGAGCAGGCACGACTAGAGTGTGCTCGGCTACTTCCAGGGCGTCGTTGGGCCGCTTTGTTGGGTTGCCAAGGCTAAGCGTGAAGGCACGGTAGGGAGCTGTGGAGCTGGGGCCATGTTACATGTAGTAGAAGATGCTCAACTGCCGGTATTGGGCCACTCTAGAGCTGAATAATGGAGTAAGGGTCGGCTAGGGCCGTGTGACGCGCAGTAGGAGGTAGTGCTCAACTGTCGATACATGTTGCTCTTATGTAGAATCTTCTGGGGCGACGAGGACAAAACTTGTTTCTGAGTGTTCCTGCCAGTGTTCATCTGCCCTT